GATGGGTCTTTTCACATCAATTAGTATAATGAAGACAACTCCCTACAGGTGTGTACTGAGGCCAGTTCCCCCAGGGGGCTCTCTGTCCTATTAGGTAGACAACACTAACCATCACTGCCTCCCTTTCCATTTTCTTCCCTTATGATTCACTCTTGAGCTGATGTACTTGGAGCTAGGCATTTCCCTACAATGGATCCCAGGAGGAGCATTTGTAAATTTTCACGTGAAAAAAAATTCATATGACCTCCTGGGAAACTTCAGTTTCCTCATGTCCAAGTAGCCACATATCAACAGAGGTCTACCTTTTCTGTCCAGCCTTTTAACTTGGAGATAGAAAGGAAGAAAGGAAGGAAAGAAGGAAGGAAGGAAGGAAGGAAGGAAAGAAAGAAGGAAGGAAGTAAAGAAGGAAGCCAACAAAATATTTCACATTGTGATATATTACTTTTATGACTCAAAATTATTTTCAACGGAGATGGAGAGAAGAGAACCTTATTCAGAGTGAGAAAGCTGGGCTTTCAAATTCCTTGGATGATACATTTATGGTACTCACTTGACTTATTTCAATGTCCCTCTCCTCCTAAATAGATTGGAGATAGCAATCAGAATATCTAGAATTTAGAACTTAGAAGTTGCAAGCTTTTCAAAATACAAAATAACCCCAAAACCAAAAACAAACAATAAAAAGAACCTTAAATGCCCTTTCCCTAAATGAGATTAATAACTACCTTATATGCCATGCTAGAGCCTTCATTCAGTGGTTCATGGAAGCAGAGACAGGCACCCACAGCTAAACACTGAACTGAACACCTGGAACCCAGTAGCAGAGTGGGAGGAGTAATGGGCAAGGGAGTCAAGATGGGTCTATTGAAGCCCACAGATGCAGCTGACCTTATTTAGGGGGAGATCATGGACTCCAGACTGATGGCGTCATGGATGTCAGTGAGGAGACCTTGGCAATCTATGGGGCTTCTGGTAGTGGATTGGTATTCATCCCTGGTGTACCAGTGGACTTTGGGAGCCCATTCCACATAGAGGGATGTACTCTGTGCCTGGACACATGAGGGAGGGCCTGGGCCCTGCCCTGGATGATATGGCAGACTTTAGGGATCCCCCATGGAGTGCCTCATCCTCTCCAGGGAGTGGAGAGAAGATGGGATGGGGGGCTGGTGGGAAGGGAGAAGGAGGGGAAGGAGAGGGAGCATGGATTGACATATGAAGCTGGCTTGTCTCTAGTTTAAATAAAAAAAATAAAAAAGAAAAGAAAACCAGAGCCAGAGTAAAAGCGCTTGGTGAGTAATTCTGACAACCTGAGTTCATTCCAAAGAAACTACTCAAAGCTGAGAGGAGAGGATCAACACCACAAATTCATCCTCTGAATTCCACACATGTGTGACTTTAGATATAAATGAAAATTGGGAATGAAAACTTTTGTCATGTTTTTCCTTAAAAGTTTGGCCTTCTTTCTGACTTTCCTCTTCTAGAACTTGTAGGCACCCCACCCCAAACTACACTGAAGCTACAATGAGTCACTTAGCAGCAAAGCGAAGGAGCCGAGTCTAAAAGGTTGGGATTCAGACAGCTGAGGATGCAGTGCAATCTGTGGCCCTGCTATGTTCTACGCAGCAGAAGATGACAAATACCAGCTCCCATCACACCCTATGGCATGGTAAAAATTACAGAAGCTGCTGTAGGATGAAATTTCCAAATTTGCACCTTTCTTTTTTCCATTTATATATTTCCTTTATTCTTCCTCCTCACTCTCTAGTCTTATCCTATGGCATGAAGGATGCGACTGGACCCTTTAGCTCACTACTACGAATTGATTTTCAATATGTCTTATCAACTGTAGTTTTATTTCAGTTAGCACCAAATTTCTTCATCATATTTAAATTTTTTTCCATTTGCTTTTTCTATTACAGACATGTTGGAGTGTGTGTGTGTGTGTGTGTGTGTGTGTGTGTGTGTGTGTATGTTTCTGGGGATTTAAACTCACAACTGTTCCCAACCTGTTTGCCCATCTCCTCAGACCACAGATAAACTTTTGATTAGGCAAATTCTTCAGTTTTTTTAATTTGGGAGTGGTGGAGGGCAGTGGGGTTTTGTCAGTAACTTCTATTATCCATTTAATTTTTGTCCTTATATCATCACTGGTATCTTTAAACCTTAAATGGATGCAATGTACTCTGCACTGCTGCCCCTCCATTTCTCAACCTCTAGCTCACCAGGGATTTTGTCTATTTCACAGTTAGGCCTATATCACTGGTGGATAGATCTGGGAATTGGTGCTCAGTGTCAAGGGATTCAGATCCAGGCAACAGGACACAGAAATATCAGCCTTCAATAAGACTGCACCAATCTTTTTAAATAGTGAAAACTTGGCAACTTTTTTTGCCTGAAAACACACACACACACACACACACACACACACACACACACACACACACACACACACACACACGTTCTTGAACAATTTTCTTAAGTTTGAGAAATTCCTCCACAAAAGGGAAGAAGAGTGATCCTGTCACAGTTGCAATGTCATAGAAGCTTCTTTACTCACTCTCTTGGAGGCCTGGATAGTCTATTCTTCAACTCTGTTTGAGCATTACAGTGATAGAAACTTGAACACATGAAAAACAGACTGAATCTTTCTAACCAGACAATTATTGTCTTCAAAGGTGAAAACATCAGTTTTTCGGTGTAGGTAGAGGTGACAATTGGGTTTCTTTCAGTCTAAGAAAAAGCTAGTAACACTGGGCATACCATCCTTCAAAGTAGTTTGACAGAACTCTCAGATGAAGCATGTCTCCCAAGAAATTCACTTCCTCTTATAGGACAACAGCTCAAACTACTTGCTTACAATGTACCTAAGTTTTCTGTAAGTCTTATGGTCTACAACAAACAATGGTATGGATTATACTAATCCTCTATTCAAATTTTGTTTCATGTAGCTATTTGAATTTTCACAGCAGGCAACAACATCAAACTTTCTAAGTGTCTCTTTCTGGGAATATCAAATTCTCATAACAAATCCATCCTCTTTCTTTACATGTCACTTTGGGCTCTGGACTGACCACAGACTAACTAGGTTCCAACTGGGAACACAGCAATGAATTTTACTTCTTAAATGAAGTAAATGCCAACTTTCAATGTTGAGATGGCTCATTCTGATTCCTTACATGGTCACAGGCTTCTCTTGCTTGCAGCATGCCCATGGCAGGGCTCTGAACCTGGCCGTCTAATTGTCACTATGTCATTTCTTTGTGTTGTGCCATTTCTCCAGGTCATACCCAGTGAGTAAAATTTAAGTTTTTGCTTGACAGGTAAGCTATAGCCCTTCTTCCAAAACTTTGGAAATCTTTGTCATTTTACTCAAAAAGATAACCTTCATTTGCCTCAACACTTCTGAAACAGAATAGAGTAACTCTGACCTAGCCTTAACAGCTTTCATGTTTTCCATTAAAATTTCTGATGTCACACACACACACACACACACACACACACACACACACACACACACACACACAAACACACGCAATGGAGGCGGGAAATCTAGCACAATTGTGTTTCATTGCTTAAATTTTAATTTGTAATATAGGCAATAAGGAGCATAGGTCTCATAAATCCTACAAAGTGTCCTTTTCCATAGCATTTACTCTATGACTCCTTTAAATCTATGACTACATTGGAAAATTTTGTACTGGAAGGATACCTCCCTCAGGCTAACATCTTCTACCAAAATGATGTTTGGAATTTTAAAACAACTAAGGGTGAAGGATACTTATATTGTCCCTGAAGTGTCCACTGGACCTAAGAATTTCAGCTGTGTGTAATTCTCAGGACCTTACATGTTAACGTTTGCTTTCGCCATGCCAGACAAACTGTGGATAGGCTGGATACAAAGGTTTCTTGAAAAGTGACCAAATGGGTGAAGGCAAGTAAGCTTGGTCACCCCCTTTTGATGATTTTTTTAGTTAGGGTTTCTATTGCTGCCATGAAACACTATGATCATAAAGCAAGTTAGGGAGGAAAGAGTTTATTTGGCTTACATTTAAAATCATAGTCCATCATTGGAGGAAGTCAGAACAGGAACTTGAGCAGGACTGGAACCTGGAAGCAGGAGCTGATGCAGAGGGCATGAAGGGAAGCTGCTTACTGGCTTGCTCCTCATGGCTTGCTCAGATTACTTTCTTATACAACCCAGGACACCCAGCCCAGGGATGGCACTACTTGCCATGGGCTGGGCCCTCCCTTACTGATCCGTAATTTAGAAAATTACTTACAGATGTATCTCATGGAGGCATGTCCTAATCTGAGACTCAGGTGACTCTAGCTTGTGTCAAGTTGACACACAAAACTGGACAGTACAGTGATGTATAGAAATCATTTGTAAGAATTTGGGAGTGAGTCCAAGCTGTCCTTCAAAACACACAGACAAGATATTCATTTTCATTGAAAATGAGTTTCTTATTCTATATTAGGATTGTAGTAAGGATTCAGGGGTTTTATCCAAATAGTTATTTGTCTTCAGTTACTTGTTGAAGGGTAAATAAATGAAAGTGTTATGTGTATCATGTTTTTAAGAAGAAAGCCCGCCCAGTTCTTAGTTATCTCTACCATACAGTACTGAAAGCTAAGCTAAGGGAACAGAGTAATTTCTGAGACATTTTAGAGGTGGAGAAAGCACCCGTGAAATAGCTGCTGAGTGTTCAGGGTTCTATTAAGTATAAACAGTAACACATATTGTTCACAGACAACTTACTGCACCTGGTACTTTTAAGAGCTCTGTCATTTCATTTTTGTAACTAGTTTAAGACTAAGGTAAATTTGTTACTCAAGTTTACAACTAAGAATGTGCATAGCTATTGCTTAATAGGCATCACATAAGAACTCAAGCTGATGTCTGCAAGACAATGGGTTCCAAACTTCTTAAGTGCTTCTCACAAAATTATTACAGTATAAGCCACAGACGCAGACTTTCATGCACAATAAAACCACACATAGATCTTTTGACTTTTATTTATATCTCTTAGCTCAAGAATTACACACTAGCCAACATTATTATATATTTACATGCGGAAACTGGCTGCAATAAGTTGAAATTCATGAAAATAATTCTTATGTGCTATTCATTGATAATCTTCTTTTGAATTTTTACTACTGCATGTATCCCAGAGATTTTAGAAGTCCTGTTTTTAAAAAGACGTGAAAACGGATGCAATGTATCCTGCTAGTGCTTTGCATTTTCTAGCTGTTGGGGAGTGAGCATGATGTGTGTGTTCAAAGTTCAGAAAGGCTACAAGGTCATTGTAAGGCTGATAATCACTACATTGTGAAGAAACTAGAACAATACTTCTTAGAAAAGGACAGTTCAGAACTATGTAGGAACAATTCCATAACAGAACTATTTAAACACCCATGCAAAGAAAAATTGTAAGTGGCACGGAATTTAAATTATAGACAACTTTGTTTGAGTGAACTGTGTTTAAAATAAATGTGGTTGGACTCTTAGTCATAGAACCAAAATATAAACAGAGAAAGAATACAAGCTGGTGGAAACATTGACTTGATTCAAACGGTGTGATGACAGAGGTGTGCCATCAGATGTGAGGTGGAGTGACAGGGAATGGCATTTTGCTTTCAAACTCAAAGTAAACTTTTGTTTTTCACCATTTTGGATGTTTATCACAAAAAGTACTTCTTAAATCAAATTAGAAATTAATGTCAAAATCTTGCACACATCCAGAGAAATTTTCTCATTGTATTTCCAAAAGGTACAGATTTTTTTCCAACTTAAAAATAACAAACACACAAACAAACAATAATTTGCTTAGGGCAGCATCTGAATTTACCCTCTATTGACTCCTTACTGTGTTTTAAAACCAACTTCCTACTGCATTTGGAAAAAATATTTATACTTTGGTGTAAAGCAGTGTCTTATTTCCCATTTCCTATTTTTCTTTCCTTTTGAAAAATAATTCTGGAGTCTTTGGTTGAAAGGAATAATACTATCTAAAGACATGATGCTACTGTATATTAAAAAAAGAAAAACCTCTTCTAGCATGCATTGTATGTAACAAATTTCTGGAGCTGGTATGAATAAATGGTGTTGTTATCTGCAGTACTGCTACAGACCTCTAGTTTGGGGGAAAAACTATAATATTCAAACTTTGGCTTCTTATACTCTGGCTTAGAAAAACCATTAATTAACCGTAACCACTTCTCCTTTTTTCCAGTTGCCATATCTAAAGCATTTCTTGGTTGTTAATATGACAACAAAACAATGCTACATTTCCCACTGAGAGTGAGAAAATAGGAGCAAAAAGAAGGCAGTGGAAGACAGTGAGTATGTGTGTGTGTGTGTGTTTATGTGTGTGTGTTTATGTGTGTATGTGTGTGTACTCATACCTTCATGTGAGAGACAGCAATGGAAATCCTTCTGTATGGGATTCCCAAATCATTTATGCAAAAGGGTGTTTAAATTACTCTGTTGGGGCCACTCCAGTAAACATACTTAGTAAAAAATAAATAGATAAAATTAAGACAAAAACCCTAAACAATTATCTGCATCTATTGACTATTAATTTACAGCATCTTTAATTATGTACATATTGTAACACTTCGATGTAAGCCATGAACAGAATTAGTACATTGCCTTACCATAAAATACAAATTAGAAGTTAAAAATATTTAAGAAATCTTTTTAAATATTTACACAAGCTCAGTGAAAGTTATGGTTGCTTACACAACAGACTCTGTACACTTAGCAAATGGCATGATTGCTACAGTTTTAATTTTCCCTAACCAACATGGTGAGGGTTAGTCTTCTTTTTTCTTTTTTTCCCAAGAGGATTTTTTTCCATTTTCTTATTTTTTTGTCTTAAATCACTGATGAAAAATGTTATCTGTGTCCTTAGAAAGACAGCAAATGGACATTTGACAAGCAATGCAGAAACTAGTTAATATCTGCTATTCTGAGGTACAGTACAATTGTAGAGTCAACCTGTGCAATGTTCTTAGGAACTGTAGGCATTGATTGCTGGGAGAGATGTTCAGTACCCTGTATTACTTATTTCAGGATGGTGACTGTTGGTTGCCAAATTAAAAAAAAAACATACTAATATACAGGCTCAATGAAGGAAACAGCTCATTAGCTTATTCCTTTTGTTTCTGACATATGAATGCATATATATGCATTTGTGTTTAAACGGATCTCTATATACACATATACACATGTAGATATGCTATAAGACCTGTTTATGTTGATGTTTTCAGTTTTTGAACATGAAATTAGCCAGAAGACTTAAACATAGTGACCTACAGGAAATGGAAGTGGTCATAGTTGCCAGTTTTAAGCAGGTCCTGCTTAAAATAACCTTGACTCATTTCTTCACTAGATTTTTCCACTGCAATTTGTGATTTCTTGTGCTTTTGTAAGCCGACAGATCATTTCTGTTTGTGGTGCTAATGCTAGAATGTAGAGTCTTTCGTTTTGAGAAAAAATCATTATTATTATTATCGTTGTTATTATTTTACTTAGCACTGCTCTTGTTGAAATGAAGAGACAGCAGGACTAGGTGGCACTGCTTGAGTCCTATCCTCTGTTGGTAAATTGCAGTAGAAATAATTGTAACATTCTATGCAAACACATGGGTATGTTGCATGAGATTTCAGTTCAGAGTGCATTTCATACCTACAAGCAGTCATGTACAATATATATATATATATACAGATTGAGATCAGAGATTTATTTAGAGTCTGCATTTGAGAGTCAGAATTTGCCTAATAATTTCTCAGAGATGAGAAAACACCTTAATTGCTGGCTATCTGGTTACTGTATAATCAAAGGAAGAAAACTATACATATGTATAAACTGATTGGACTACCATTTTAAGATTGCCAAAACACACATTTGTGGTCCTTTAGTTTAATTACTGGGTAACAAACTAATTGGTTTTCCCAGATTCTCAGACCTAGCACCCTTTCTTGCATTCTAATTCAACTAAGTATGTAGCTTGAAAATAAATTCTACATGGATCTCTATTCCTGGACAGGATGAGTCAGAGTTTTCTTCGTATGTGGTTATTGAATGCCAACATATGGTTTCACTCTAGGACACTGGTTCCAAGGTTCCATTTTCTCTCTGCATTAGTTATGTGCAGAAATGTGTTTCCTGGTCATATGCATACCAGTCCCACACTGTGAGGCTGCTTTCCCCTGTTTCTATCTAAATAGTTTGCTTGACTTTCCTGGACATCTAAGATACTTTTATAATCTCAAATGACAATATCAAGGATTTTTTATGGCTTTTATGGAAATTGCAAATGGGAGCCTAGACACAGGCTCAGAATTATTGTTAGAAAAATCGTTTCAGAATGGCATGTCACAGGTGTGCCCCTGAGTTTATCATTATGTTTCTTTCATGTTATTTTATATTCGAACTTCACCCCTTGGTGACAAGGGATAGGCACTTTTATTACTGTGATTCCCAGAAATGATTGTGTAGGAGAAAGCATGGAGAAACTTGAAGAATCTTTACTCTGAGATCATGCAGAGATTCTTCTTCAGATCTGTGGTCCTGTAACTCAGGAGGGTTCCAGTACTTAATCAAAACACAGGAAACTTCACAACACCAATGGAAACCAAACCAAACTGAACCAAATCAAACCAGACTAAACCAAAACATTCTACCACCCCAACTTTGTGAAAATTTAGAAAACGAATGATAAAATGTTTTTCCTTTTTTTTGCTTCTAATAGTTGGAATGGAAGAATAACACTTAATACCCCAAGTTTCTGAATCATGGGCAGAAAACTGAATCTTTATCTGCAGAAGACTAGCCTTAATTTTTATGCACTTACTGGGGACCACACTATGAAGTCAGAATTTCTTTGATGTTTTTAAAAATAGAAATAGCAGCCATCCTCTGAGGGAAAGGTCAATCAGAGCCAAATTTATAGAAAACTTAGAAATTCAGTATTTTCTGAGGGCAAGAACCAAATATGAGACCCCCTATTGACAAAAAAAATTATATATGCCTATTCTCTTTTCTGTCCAGTATATGAATGTGTTTTCCCAATATGGAAAGATGTGGGATGGCATAATTGCAAAGGTAGATTGCAATATATACAATGTAAGCACCCTTTAAATTACCAAATCCAAATTAGACACAGATTTCATTTGTGCAAACACATGCCTTAGAAAACACAAAGGTGGACTTCGTAGCACATAAGAAAACCCAGCTTGTGCAGTCTGCAATGCCTCGTGGTCTCTGTCTCCTAAGTACAAAAAAGAGAATTTTGAAAGCAAGAAAAGATGAAGATGAGGATTAGTCATTTAGAGCAAAGAACCAACTCTCTTTTTGAAATACTGTATTCGATTCAGAAATAAACTGAAAGGGAGATGATGTAGGGGCAGCTGACACTGACAAAAAAAACCGACCAGCTTCTCTGTGCTCTGTGTTTCACTATTGAAATGATTCTCAACCTGACCTAACAGGACACTTTTTCTCTTCACTTTTCTATCTGATGGCTACCTTTTTATGAGATAAATTATTTAAAAATATCTTCCTTACATATGCTAAGTTTATGCCTATGAGGTTGGCCAACCAATCCCCCTCATTCTACTCTTTGCTGCTCAACACTATGTGCAGAACAGGTGCCATGTGACACTGACAAGGGTTGCACTTGCTTGGTTTGCTTTCTCTTAACTACAGCCATTACTGGATTTTTTAAAACCCTGCTCCATGCTGTTAACTCATATTTTAACCACCTAGGAAATAGCTTTTTGGCAAAGCATACATGTTGGGTGTGCACAGTCTGCTCCCAAGTTTTCCTCTGTCCCAGTGTTAAATTGAAAGACATCACAGCTGGTTCTTTGCAAGCAATCAAACAGAGCAGATACACCGGTTACCTGAGTCTCTGCTTTGAAGCTTTGCTCTACCTCCCTACATTGATTGTGCTCAAAGCACATATGAGTCTATTAGACCCTTGAGAATCACCTCTCCATGACACCCTTATCATCTGGCACAGACCTCACTGACTGTATTGAAATAGCATGCTTCCATTATTGCAAAGAGTGTTTCATAAGCACAGTGCTGTCCCAACAGTGTGCCAGTCTTAGGAACAATGGTGGAGAGCAAAATAACCATGTCTCAGAGAACTGACTACCAATGCTACTGAGCTTTCTAACATCTTCTAGAATCTAGATAATAACCCTTTGGGTAGGCTGAGAATACTACACTGATAAAGTGGCATAATTCATTCTCAATCTTTCCAGCATGTGTATAAATCACTTTCATTGTAACTGGAAAACCACAAGGACCTTAGTGTATTCATTACTTAGTAGAAGCAACCCAAATGGTATGAAATGGACCACAGGATAGGCCAGCAACTAAGGTATTTTTAAGATCACTTTTGTCCTGGATTGATGTGTTTTCCAAGTCCTACGTCAGGCTGTACAACTGTTTGAGGAGTAATCTAGTCCTTGCTTCCCACGGGAGGCTGTAATTTAGTTCACGTAATAAAGCCAATAGACAATGTTGAAGAAAGAAAACACCACTGGAAAGAAAATGCGGGACCACCGATCAATGGCATTCACATCAGTCAAGTCAGGGATGGTGATCTTCAGTTGAGAGGCACGTCTCCTCAGGCGACTCTTCTTTTGGGCCACATGTCGCTCCAGAGCATTACGACCAAAACTATGCCTAGGCAACCCGGCTTTCCGATACTGGATGCTGGAGGCATCATATGCAAGCATTGTGCTCCTGGGGTCTCCAAGTCCCATTACTGCTTCTGATGTAGCCATCTCATTTTTTATCTCAAGAGTGCTGAGTAAGATGTTCTCATGGGGGTCCATCTGCAAGGAGAAAGAATCCGAAAAGGTATATTTGAAACCATAAGCCTTTGCTGATGCTTGCGCTACAAGGAACTATTGTAGGTATTTAAAGAAATATCTATCACAGTGACAAAGAGAGATAGTTTTGCTATTGCAATAATTGACTTTCAACTGCAGCTCTGCATCTATGAGCTGTTTGAGTTTCAGATTTCCCATTTATTAGATGGTATAGATTCAACCCCACAGGATTCCTGTAATGTAATTTTATAACAGATTAGCTAGCACCAATTTCATAATTTCTACTTACCTCATGCAGAGAAATAGAAGGCAAGTGGCATCCCTTTACATAATTTATAAAACTGATATAAACAGATGCAGAATCAACTTTATAATATAGGGTATAATGGTAGGGAATTAGCTGTACAATTATACTCATATATTTATGTAATATATATTTACTGAGTATATTTAATTTTAGCATCAAAGTACACCAAATGTCATTAGCCTTTTTCTTCCTTTCTGGTAGTGTTGGGGAATTACACCTGAAACCTACATAGTATAGGTAAGTGTTCTACTATTGAGTTATATACACATCACCATTTTTTAAATTATGAAATAAGAAAAAGGTAAATTCAATTTTCTGTGCATCAAGAAGTAGAACACTTTTATATGTTCTACAAGAATCCAACATGTACAATTTCTTTGAGGCATTTACTACACAAATTGGGCTTTCTACTTAATTTCATTGACCATCGCTGTAATACAAAGCAGACTTGATGGGTCACTAAGTACAGTTGTTGCATTGGCCCACTTAGAAAAAAGTATTTTTAAAAGAAAATTGTTTTGGGGTGAACAAGATTTTTGTAACCTAAACATTTTCCCTGGGTTCAGTTCCAAGCACACACATGGAGGCCTATAGGCATTTGTAATCTAGTCCCAGGGCATCCAATGTGTTCTCCTGGCTTCCATGGGCATTGCATACATGTATTACATCTATATAACATTCAGGCAGAAGACTTGTACACATAAAATAAAACAAAATTCATTAAAAATATGAAGCTATTATATTATAGTGTTAACTAAATTGCAATGCTAGATATAAAGTTTAATAAAAGAAATAAATAAATAAAATAAGGAAAGTGTGGCTAATGAAAGGCACTGATGACATACAGAGACCAAAGATGTAACCAATTAGTTACATGATGTATTGGTGGGAACATGGATGTTACTCAAAGCAAAATATTACAAATACTACATATTAGTAATTGGTTTTTTTGTATGTAATTTGAAGGTCCTATGCTGTAATTTCAAAGCAAAGATCTTTTGAGAGATAGGTGCTATAAAATATAAAATATACAGGAGTATAAGAATTGGCCAATTTAATCTCTACTCCCTTAGCAGATATTCTTAGTACGTACAAATAAAAGTATAATAAAAGAGTACTGGCACGGCAGACTTTGGGATCATTTGGTTCTCTTTGTCTAAAGAAGGGCCGTTGAAGTGCTTTTGCTGTGTTCCATTCTCTTTAGCAACTGTTTCACTAAATGCTTACAAGCTTCCTTCTACAAAGGCAGTCTTTCCCCTGTTTACAGGTAAGGGTGTTCACCAAACTTCCCAACCCTAAAACACATGGTCAATAAGCAGAACTACAACTCAAAGCTTGCTCTGCTAAGAAATCAAAGTTGCACAGGGGAGGATCGGCCTTTCTCCACTCCCTGTTGCTCCAACACAGTATCTACTTTCTGTTATTTTTTTTCTACTGTCCATTAACCCATATAGCAAATAACCTTTAGCATGTAAATTTTCTTCAATGATTTTCAGAGCATTCCTCATCCCAACACCAGGATGTTTGCTTTATTATAGTGTGTTACTGTAATAAGAGAGATTACAAAACAACCCTAGATTTGACTGTTAACTTTGTAAAACAATAGGAACAAACATAATAAAAGCACTTGTAGCAAATAACCCAATTAAAAATGGGATACATATCTAAATAGAGAATTCTCAATAGAGGAGTCTAAAATGGCTGAAAGACACTTAAGAGAGTGTTGAAATCTTTAGCCATCAGAGAAATGCAAATCAAAACAACTCTGAGATGCTATCTTATTCCTGTCAGAATAGCTAAAATCAAACACATCAACGATAGTTTATGCTAGAGAGGATGTGGAGAAAGGGGAATACTCCTTCACTGTTGGTGGGAGTGCCAACTCATATAGCCACTTTGGAAATCAGTATGGAGGTTCCTAAGGAAAATGGGAATCAGTTTACCACAAGATCCAGCAATTCCACTCGTAGGTATATATCCAAATGATGCACATTCATGCAACAAGGATATCTGTTCAACTAATGTTCATAGCAGCATTATTTGTAATAGCCAGAACTAGGAAGCAACCTAGATGCCCCTCATCTGAAGAATGGATAGAGAAAATGTGGTACATTTACACAATGGAGTACTACTCAGAGGAAAGAAACAATGGAATCTTGCAGGCAAATGGATGGCACTAGAAGAAACCATTCTAAATGAGGTAACCCAGTAACCAAAAGACAAACATGGTATGTACTCACTCATTTATGGATTTTAGACATGAATCAGGGGATTGCTAGCCTATAATCCTACCGTCAGAGAGTCTGGGAAACATGGAGGACCCTAAGAGAGATATGCATGGTACCCTGGAGAAGGGGAATGGGATAGGATCTCCTGAGTTAATTGGGAATGTGGGGGAGGGGAGAGGAGAGGGAACTGGAATTGACATGTGAAGCAAGCTTTAAATAAAAAATATTCTTCAAAAAAAGCATTGGTAGCTATGAAAAGTAAACTTTTCTAAGTTTTAAAAAATTATCTTTGGACAATTTGTTTTACTTCAATGAGTTTCTGTCTTACTATGTATGGAATTCAAGAGTTGAAGTAAATGATCACTAGAAACTTATTATTTATTTATTTTTCACTTAAAAATTCAAGAGATATTTTCTGTGTGATTAGCAGAGTGAGTATTATTGACTGATACAGTAATGAGAAAGGCAACAGTGGTGTAGAGTCCTTAAGGCAAGGGCCATCTCCCAAAGCATCACAGGATGCAAGTCAAACTGTATTTTTCCATTTGTTATTTTTGACATTTGAAAGTTACACATCCCTTTATCTGTATGGAGAACTGGGATAAGATTTGGGGAAATTGAAATGAAATATGTACAAAGGTACACTCTAAATCACTATGTAAGCTTATTGTTTTGTATGACAATTGTAGTGAAATACATACAAGTTCAGTAACATGGAAAATAACAAGAATAAATAACTGTGCTGAAAGGGAAGGTTGGTGTGTTGACTTGTACATAGTACCTATATGACACACAGGAAGCACTCCAAAATAAAAAACTGCTATCATAAAAGTAAAATTACCATTTACTACATGATTAAATCTGATATTTTAGAACAGACTCAGATGATGATCTTTCTCCAGGTAAAGCCTGGAGATCTTATGGGAAATCTTGCCAGACTGAAGCAAGAGTTAGTGGTGGAGATGGGTGACACATATGGAATACCTATTCTGATGAATCATGAACTTCTACTCTTTGATAGTGGTCCCTCATTAGAATACTTTTTTTTTCAGGACTGGGTTTCTCTGTGTGGTCCTGCCTCTGCTGAAACTCACTCTGTAGACCAGGGTCCCCGAAAACTCAGGGATCTGCCTGTCTCTTCCTCCTGATTGCTGGGATTAAAGGTACACACCTGCATCAAGAATATTTAATCTTAAAATATGATTGTTCTTCTAGACTCAATTACCTGGGCAATAATAGGAATTAATAAATTTATCTAAAACAACATTTTTCCAGAAAATTCTTACCCATGGCCATGAAAATATGAAGTATGGAAGAATAAGAAATAGCCATCTTCATTTAAAATGTAACTCTCAAATAACAGACAAGAAGGAGACTCAGGCCAGTTGTAGTGAACTGCTTAGAGTAAAACCGAGAGGCATTGCTCTGATTTTCCCAGCCACTCCTTTGAAGAACCATTTTTCTTCTTCATTTGTTCCTGCTTTCTACAAAGGTTTTTATATGTATCAATTATATTCACTTCCCTCTAAAAATTCATTAAAATCCTCACTGAAAAGCACTCCTCAGTGCCCATGTGTTACATTTTTTGGGATCATGAGATGGAGAATGCCCTTCGGGTCTGCATGGGGGCTCAGTCAGCACCTAGAACCCATTCTCTATTCTGTCGTAAGGCAGGATGTTGTACATTGTACTGTTTCTGACTTTATTGGGACAATCCAAGCTGGTCCAGGTGCCACTTTTGAGACTAAGTCTCAACCTTCTCTGATTCCAGTTTTATTATGTGTCAACTAGGGAAAAAGAGCAACACCAGCCTTCTGGGATTGTTTGAGAGGATTGAACCTCTCTTTGTTAATAGCAAGCATCCTCCAAACCATAGCTAAGTTCGTTACTGAAAACCCAATACAGCTGAGTCCTCTACAGTCCCTTATTCTCTGCATGCCCTCATTGTAAATGAAACATCTATAGCATGTTGACCCCCAAACCCCTGCTCAGACTGAGGAAGAGTGAGCAGAGGCAGAGGATGCCTGCAGTGAAACAGCCTTTGCCAGTCATGATATGGCTGTTGCTCAAAAGAAATCATAGCACCTGTGACTGCATGCACAAGAGCTCTACAAGATCATACCAGCCAAAACCCAGCATGGATAAGAGAGGGGAGGAGCTCATCAAGTTCCATCTCTAGTTGAGGAACTATTGAATATTGATAGCTGCTGACAAGAAAGAGTTTTCTTCAGGAATGTGGCCCATGAAAGGCTATCTGAGCTCCAGTACATGATCCCATATCCATACAGATTCAGACAACACTAATTGGAATTAGCAGGTTTTAAAAATAGACCATATTAAATAGAAAAAAAAACAAGGAACTGAGTGGAGGAGGGAATGGGAGTAGATTTGATCACAATTCACCTATATACGTGCACAAAATTTTGAAACAGTAAAAATCTTGATAGATACTCAGAGAATGGATAGGT